AGGTAAATTGTGTACCAATGTCCCTATATATCTTTCGATTTGCACAAAATTTGTCACTGCGTAATGAATAAGATTGAGAATGATGTGTCTGCCAAGTTTCGTGAAAATCGGTTCAGATTTAGATATAGCTCTTCATCCGATTTAAGGTAATTGGTGCACCAAAGACCCTACATATCTTTCGATTTACGCGAAATTTGGCATAGCGTACTGGATTGTGTCTATAACAATGTGTGCTAAGTTTCATGAAAATCGGTCCAAATTTAGATATAGCTCCCATATATAGTTTCGCCCGATTTTAGGTAATTGGTGCACCAAAGTCCCTATATATCTTTCGATTTGCACGAATTTTGGTATAGGGTATTGAATTAAGTCTAGAATGACATGTACCAAGTTTCGTGAAAATCGGTTCAGACTTAGATATAACTCCCATATATATATTTTCGTCCGATTTTATGTAATTGGCGCACCAAAGTCTCTGAAAATTATTCGATTTGCACGAATTTTGGTATAGGGTACTGAATTAAGTCTAGAATGACGTGTGCTAAGTTTCGTGAACATCGGTTCAGATTTAGATATAGCTCCCATATATAGTTTCGCCCGATTTTAGGTAATTGGTGCTCCAAAGTCCCTATATATCTTTCGATTTGCACGAATTTTGGTATAGGGTATTGAATTACGTCTAGAATGACGTGTGCTAAGTTTCGTGAACATCGGTTCAGATTTAGATATAGCTCCCATATATATTTTCATCCGATTTTATGTAATTGGCGCACCAAAGTCTCTGAAAATTATCCGATTTGCGCGAAATTTGTCATAGCGTGCTGAATTAAGGCTAGAATGACGTGTGCTAAGTTTCGTGAAAATCGGTTCAGATTTAGATATAGCTCCCATATAGAGTTTCGCCCGATTTTAGGTAATTGATGCACCAAAGTCCAAAGTCCATTCGATTTGCACGAATTTTGGTATAGGGTACTGAATTAAGTCTAGAATGACGTGTGCTAAGTTTCGTGAAAATATCCATAGCTAGGCCGATTGACACAACGTACTGATGTAATATAAATTAGTCTCTGGCAAGTTTCCCCAAAATCGGTTCAGATATATAGATATATAACAAAAACGCTGTTAGAATACATATGTAGAATATACCCAAAGTGGTGAAGGGTATCATATAGTCGGCCCAGTCCGACTTTAATACTTTCCTTACTGGTTTTAAATCCATTTTCACATTTTTTTCACAATATTACGCAGCTGCTTATCACAACAATTAGTGGCATATTTTTTGCACTACAACAAATTGCAGTAATTTCAAAAATATTTATGATTTTTTTTTTTTTTTTTTTTTGAAACTTTTGTTGTTATTATTTTTATTTATATAATAACTTAACAAGCTGCTGTTTAAAAATGTCCATTAACCGAGCAGGGAGCTTGAACCTGTTACAGAGATGCTGTGTTTAAAAAAATTGTGCATCTAGAGCTTAGAGAAGACAGTCGTGGGGAGATGATGACTTTTTCTTCTTTGTCTTCTCCTCTCCTCCTAACTTCCTCCTATTTGTCTATATTTCATGTGAAAAATAATTCATGACACAATGGACGACACACAGACAAATCATCAACAATTTCCGAAAAAAACCATCATTGAGCTGATGACGAAGACTTTGGAGAGCCACAACACCAGGCGATCCGTAGCAACAGCGGTACATCATAAATGTCAGCAAGCTGTAGGTTGGTGGCTTAGAGGTCCGTCCGCACATTATGTTATAAATAAAACAACAACAACAGAAGTAACATAAAAAATAATAATCTCATAATAAAAACATTATTGTTGTTGGTCGGTCGTTCGACTGCGCCAATCAACCAAACCTGCCTGTCATACAAGTCAGCCAGCCAACACCAAGATTAACCTAAAGTGGGACAATGAACGTAACAAAAAGTAATAATAAAATAAAAACATAGTAACTGTATTAAACATATGTAGGTAGAGACGAGAGGTATATGGAGAACAAAAAAAAAAAAAATATGGAAACAACAACAACAAAAACGCTAAGAAACATTAACCACGCACAAAAGCTCTGGCGGTTGCTGTGTCATGTGAACGAACGTCGTCACACCGTCATTGCTGAATGAGTTCTCGCGGTCACACCAAATAAGGCGTTAGGTTCGGTGGCAATTACCACTGTCGTGTAAGAAAAATCGACTATTTATGTTCGGCGATTAAAAAAAAATTCAGTTGTAGTTGTTGTAATTTTTTTTTCTGTACATTTATCAATGAAGCCCAAACACAGATATGAAATCTATTAATTTGTTCTTGTTTTCGATATGAATGGGAAGTTGCTGCATGCAATTGCAGGAGAACAACAGCATTGGGAAATGGGGTGGGAGGGTAAAATACGACAACAAAAATTAAAAAAAAAATTCAATTTTGAATTTCAATTTCTTATAGGCTTGGATTTAAAAAAAATATATTTTTTGAGAGGTCCATAGAAGGCGTGTATTTTTTTTTTTAATATTTTTTAAAAAAGGGTCCATGCCTTTGGTGGTTACTAAAAAGGAAAAAAATTCCAAGCCTTCTATGGAGCTCTCGAAAAAATATTTTTAAAAAATCTAAGCCTTCTATGGACCTCCCTCGATGGACGCGAAAAAAAATATTTTTAAAAAATCCACGCCTTCTATGGTCCTCCCTCGATGGACGCGACAAAAAATATTTTTAAAAAATCTAAGCCTTCCATGGACCTTCCCCAATGGACGCGAAAAAAATATTTTTAAAAAATCCACGCCTTCTATGGACCTTCCTCGATGGATGTGAAAAAAATATATTTTTAAAAAATCCACGGCTTCTATAGACCTCCCTCGATGGACGCGAAAAAAATATTTTTAAGAAATCCACGATTTCTATGGACCTCTCGAAAATATATGTTTTAAAAATCTCCATAAATTAAAAAAAAATAACCGGGTTTTAATATGTCTCAGAACCGGTTCCAGCAGGTTGAGAAATAAATTTTAATAACAATAAATGTTAAAAAAATTAAATTTTATAAACTAAGCGTTCAATTAAAATTTGGGATATTTTGAAGCGGTTCTGAAAAACCCCGTTTTCAGTATTTATCAAAACCGGTTCGAACGTCATTTTCTTATACTTTAAAGGTATATATATATATATATTATATTACAATGGACATCCCAAAAAATATTTTTTAAAAATCTCCTTAAATTAAAAAATAATAATAACCGGTTTTAATATATCTTAGAACCGGTTCGAGTGGGTTTAGAAATAAATTAAATTTTAATACAATAAATGTTAAAAAAAAACTTTAAATTTTTAATCTAAGCGTTCAATTATAATTAGGGATATTTTGAAGCGGTTCTGAAAAAATCTGGTTTTCAGTATTTATCAAAACCGGTTCGAACGTTTGATTTTCTTATATTTTAAATGTAATTATATATTTCATTAAATTTTTGGATATTTCGAACCGGTTCCAAAAAAACCGGTTTTTATTTCCATCAAAACCGGTTCAAAAAAATAGGAATTATAGTAACATTTATTATCATTTAGAGACAAAAATATATATTTTTTTCAATTTTTTTTAATTCTCTCTTGGAGGACCCGATTTCTAAAATAAGCCGGGGTTTCATTTTAAAACCCGTTTCGAGGGAGTTTTAAAAATCAATTTTAATTACAGAAAATATTAAAAAATTCATTTTAAATAAAAAGTCTAGTAATTTTTAATTTTAAGCATGGGCAGTAAAATGCCGCAAACGGTCAGCACCGGTTCGAATGGTGCATTTCAAGGGTTCGGTATAGCTGTTCTAAAAAAACGGTTTATATTTTTATCATAACCGTTTTGAACGTTTTCTTTATCCTTTAAATTATGTTATCCATTCATTCAATCAGAAATTTGGATATTTTCAAGCGGTTCTGAAAAAAAAACCGGTTTTAATTTTTCTTAAAACCGGTTCGAACTGTTTTAAATCCTTATAAACAATAGTAAATTTTATATATTATAGCTAATCTTCATTTAAAATTTCTTTAGCTATACATTCTATCAAAATGTGGGATATTCTGAAAAAACCCGGTTTTCATTATTTATCAAAGCCGGTTCGAACGGGTTTTTAAATCATTTAATTTCAAAAGATAATCCATTCAATCAAAATATTAGATATTTTGAAACGGTTCTAAAAACCCCGGGTTTTATTTTTTCTCAAACCCGGTTGAAACGGTTTTATGAAATTCATAGCGTAGCAAATCTTCATTTAGAATTTTATTACCTATACATTCAATAAAAATTTGGGATATTTTGATGCGGTTCCGAAAAACCAATTTTTTGTTTTTATCAAAACCGTTTCAATTTTTTTTAAATCCTTTAAAACAATATGAAAATACATTTATCTCTTTCTTCTATTAAATTTTCGAATATTTTGAACCGGTTCTGAAAAAAACCGGTTTTAATTTTTATCACAACCGGTTCGAACGGTTTTTCGAAATCCTTTAAAACAATAGCAAAATTAATAAATCATAGCAAATCTTCATTTAGAATTAAATTATGTATTCATTCAATCACAATTTCGGATATTTTAAAGCGGTTCTAAAAAAACGGTTTCAATTTTTATCAAAACTGTTTCGAACTTTTTTTAAACCCTTTAAAACAATATGAAAATTCATTTATCTCTTTATTTTATTAAATTTTCGAATTTTTTGAACCGGTTCTGAAAAAAAAACGATTTTTGTATGTTTTTGAAGCGGTTCTGGAAAAACCGGTTTTTATTTTTATCAAAACCGGTTCGAAACGGTTTAAAAAAAATCGGTAAAAATCGCAGTTGTAGGCATATTCAAATTTTAGCTCAAGTTTTATCATTTGGAGGTAAACATAAATTTTTGATTTTTTTTTTAATTCTCTCTTGTATCGGATCTCTGAAATAACCGGTTTTTTATTTATAAAAACCTAATTTTTATATTTTTTGTTATTTATTACTAATGGACCTCTATTCTCCTTCCCCTTTTCCAGAGTCTCAATGTCCGCGATGCCGTACGTGATTGTTTGGAAAAAGATCCCTCCGAGCGAACCGAAGAAGATGTTGAAATTCTGCTCGAATTTACACAGGGCCTTAAGGCCTTTACAAATATTACATTGGCCGTACGGCGAGCGCTGTGTTCCGTTATGGTCTTTGCCGTGGTCGACAAAGCGGGAACAGTGGTTATGTCCGATGGCGAAGAATTGGATTCATGGTCCGTGCTAATTAACGGTGTTGTCGAAATTGAACATGCCAATGGCGAACGTGAAGAATTGCAGGTTGGCGATTCCTTTGGCATCCTACCCACAATGGATAAACTCTATCATAAGGGTGTTATGCGCACGAAGTGTGATGATTGTCAGTTTGTGTGTATCACCCAGACGGATTATTATCGGATACAGCATCAGGGTGAGGAGAATACGCGGCGGCATGAGGATGAAGAGGGTAGGGTCGTAATGGTGACAGAGCTAAGGCAGATTGGTAGTAATGATGGCACTGGAGCGGGTGGTAGTGCAACGGCCCAAAGTTCGGCAGGTAATGCCAAGAGGGGCCATGTGGTGATAAGAGGCACCCCCGAACGTTTGCTACAACAATTGGTGGAGGAGAATTCAATGACCGATCCCTTTTATGTCGAAGATTTTCTATTGACCCATAGGATTTTTATTAAAAATTCTCAAGAAGTCACCCAAAAGTTGCTGAATTGGTTTGAGGCCGATGTCAATGGGGTGGAATTGGTACCAGGAAAATTTGCCAGTCATGCCACAGCCCAAGAGATCCGAGATCGTGTCACCCGCGTGGTTTTGCTGTGGGTCAACAATCATTTTACGGACTTCGAGGCCGATCATGAAATGATGGAATTTTTGGAAATATTTGAAGCGGGTTTGGCTCGAAAAAATCTGCTAAGTCAATTGCGCCTGCTGCACATTGCCTGTGCGGCAAAGGCCCGCAATCGTTCGTGTACCCTGACACGTTCCTCACGCGATGAATCGCTGAATTTTACCATAATTGGAGGCTATGAAATGCGTGGAGCCTGTGTACCCACCGGAGGCTGTGGCATTTATATTTCACATGTCGAAAAGGATTCCAAGGCCCAAGAAGCGGGACTGAAGCGTGGCGATCAAATTCACGAAGTGAATGGTCAAAGTTTTGAACATGTTACGAGTAAGCGAGCCCTGGAGATCCTTATGGGTTCGACACATTTAAGTATAACGGTGAAGAGTAATCTGCTGGGTTTCAAAGAAATGATGCAGGCTGTGGAGATGAGTACGAGTGGTGGTGCAGGTGGCATGGGATCGGCCAATGGTAATATGGCAGCATTGGGTTCTAAATCGCTGCGTAGTCCTCGAAGGATATGTGCCAATGATGTGGCCAAGCTACATGGCAGGGCGGATTCAACCACAGATGATATGACGGCGGCGGCAAATAGGGCACACATTGTGCGCCTAAGTTCGGTGGATATGTTGCTACATTCTGGGGAAGATCAAACGGATAGAGGCCTACCAAGTCCAGGGACTCCTGTACAATCCTCCGGGAACATGGCTTCGAATTTCATGAACAATTTACTGCAATCGGTTAATGCCTCCGGCAAGAAAGATCCCAATGGTGGTATGCAGGGTAATGGTGGTGGCGGTGGAGGTGCCGATTCCAAAGGTGGAGGTTTTATGACCCTGGCGCCCAAGCGTAGACTACAAAAAGCATTGGCCAAAATGAATTTGTTACACAAAAATGTCACCGGGCTGCAGGCCTCGAATTTAAATGACAGCAGTGATGCTCTACTGAATGTAGCATGTTCGGAAAAACATAAATCGGGGAGCCTTAGCAGTGCTTCCTCTTCCTCGGGGCCAAATGGTAACGGTGGCGGTAGGCTATATCAGTCGCAATCAAATCCCGATTTGACCTCCCTGCAATATGAAGATAATTCAGCAACATCGACATTAAACCCGGGTAGTTATCTCTCAGCCTCGGTGCACAGGCCCTCAGCGGTGTCGACCACCGGAAGTTTGGTACCCGACTATCCGGAACATGTGTTGAAGGTTTTCAAGGCAGATCAAACCTGTAAATATTTGTTAATCAACAAAGAGACCACGGCCCATGAGGTGGTTATGTTGGCCCTGCAGGAATTTGGCATACACGATCCCAGCTCCAACTTTTCGCTGTGTGAGGTCAGTGTGGGTGAGGGTGGCATGGTGAAACAACGGCGTCTACCCGATCAATTGCAAAATTTGGCGGAGAGGATTGGCTTTGCCTCGAGGTACTACTTGAAAACAAATGGCATATCGGAAACCCTGGTACCCGATGAATTGGCCCTGGAATTGGTACGAGAATCAAATGTCCATTTCCTGCAGCTAAATGCCTATGAATTGGCCATACAGTTGACCCTGCAGGATTTCTCAACATTCCGACAAATTGAATCCACCGAATATGTTGATGACCTGTTCAATTTGAAAACGAAATATGGCGTCCCAATGCTGAGTAAATTTTCCGAATTGGTTAATCGTGAAATGTTTTGGGTTGTCACAGAGATCTGCAGCGAACATAATATTGTGCGAAGGATGAAAATTGTTAAACAATTTATTAAAATTGCCCGCCATTGCAAGGAGTGTCGGAATTTTAATTCCATGTTTGCCATTATCTCGGGTTTGGGCCATGCCGCAGTCTATCGCCTCCGGCAAACATGGGAGAAATTACCCTCAAAATATCAAAGGCTATTCAGTGATTTACAAGATCTCATGGACCCCTCTAGGAATATGTCCAAATATCGCCAATTGGTATCCTCCGAACTGCTCAATCAACATCCCATCATTCCATTTTATCCGATTGTTCGGAAAGATTTAACCTTCATCCATTTGGGTAATGACACGATTATAGAGGATCTCATTAATTTTGAAAAGTTGCGCATGATTGCCAAGGAGGTGAGGTTGCTGTCACACATGTGCTCCTCACCCTATGATCTGCTGGCCATATTGGAGCTGAAGGGCCAGTCACCATCGAATGCCATGTTTTCGTTAAATCAAATGTCCACCTCACAGGGTGGTAGTAATCAAGGGCCCACACTCATTGCAGCGAATGCCGGTAATGCCACCATAAAGCGAAGGAAAAAATCCACCGCTGCCCCCAATCCCAAGAAAATGTTTGAAGAGGCTCAAATGGTACGAAGGGTTAAGGCATATTTGAATAATTTAAAAATCATCAATGATGAAGATATTCTGCACAAGTTTTCACTAGAATGTGAACCGGCTCATACATCGAGTGCCTCCACCTCATCACAACATGGTGGCAACTCCTCCCGCACCGGAGGAGATCAGCTGAGTATTTATTCACATACCTCTAACTCATCATCGGCACCAAATTCTTCACTATCGCTGAGGAAGAGACATCCATCATCGCCAACCCTCTCGACCACTTCTTCGACATCGTCGACCAGCGATAATCGTCGTAACATTAATCCAAATTGTCCTAAATTTGGCACCGCCTCACCGCAGGCGGTAAGAAAAATTTTATCTCTTTCCGAGTCGACAAAGATACGACCCCACCAACCATTTCCAAGGCCGCCAGCAACCCTGCCCGGCAATATCCCCCTACTAAGTAATGCTCATCTGCATGGTCATGCGGGATTTAATGCGGCCGGTGTCCCCGTGGCATTGGCTTCTGGATCAACACCCACACCCAGTCCTTGCTCACACAGACGTCTCACACCGGGCAGTAGTAATTCAATGCCAGGTAGGTGAAATCTCAATTTATAGAGCTTTTTGGGTTGTATAGAGACCGGAGGTCCTTATAAAGACCAGTTGGGTCATATAGAGACCGGAGGTCTTTATAAAGCTCTAATGGGCTGTATAGAGACTGGAGGTCTTTATAAAGCCCTAATGGGCTGTATGGAGACCGGAAGTCTTTATAAAGCCCTAATGGGCTGTATAGATACCGGAGGTCACTATAAAGACCTAATGGGCTGTATAGAGTCCGGAGGTCTTTATAAAACCCTAATGGGCTATATGGAGACCGGAAGTCTTTATAAAGCCCTAATGGGCTGTATAGAGACCTGAGGTCTTTATAAAGCCCTAATGGGCTGTATAGAGACCGGAGGTCTTTATAAAGCCCTAATGAGCTGTATAGGGACCGGAGGACTTTATAAAGCCCTAATGAGCTGTATAGAGACCGGAGGTCTTTATAAAGCCCTAATGGGCTGTATAGAGACCTGAGGTCTTTATAAAGCCCTAATGGGCTGTATAGAGACCGGAGATCTTTATAAAGCCTTAATAGGCTGTATAGACCCCACAGGTCTTTATAAAGCCGTAATGGGCTGTATAGAGACCCGACAGGTCTTTATAAAGCCGTAATGGGCTGTATAGAGACCCCACAGGTCTTTATAAAGCCGTAATGGGCTGTATAGAGACCCCACAGGACTTTATACAGACCATTTGGGCTGTATAGACACCCCACAGGGGTTTATACAGACCAATCGGGCTGTATAGTGACCCCACAGGTCTTTATACAAACCAATTGGGCTGTATAGAGACCCCACAGGTCTTTATACAGACCTCAATTGGGCTGTGGTCTCTATACAGCCCAATTAAGATCTGTATAAAGACCTTCTGGTCTCTATACATCCCAAAACCGGTGGTCTTTATACAGCCCTTAATTGGGCTGTATACAGACCTCAATGTGGTCTCTATACAGCCCAATTGGTCTTTATAAAGCCTGGAGGTCTCTATACAGCCCAAATGATCTTTATAAAGACCTCGGGTCTCTATAAAGACCTCTATATTTTTTTTGTATAACTAATTTCCGTTTTGTTTCTTTTCACCTCCAGCCACCATGATTCCTCCCCCAGTACGTTCGATACATGAACGCTCGCATTCGGATACGCCAGCACCACCGCCTCCCTTGCCTTCGGTGGATTTAAATTTAGAAAGTAGTAGTGTTACCACATTTCGTGATTTACCTTTAAGGAAATCTGTTACCTCTGGTAAGTTTTAAATCTAATTTTTTTTATTTTTTTTTTTCACTTTCTTAGTTTCGTATTTTCTTTATTATTATTATTTTATTTCAAAATAGTAGTCTATTTGGTATTTTTCTTCTTCTTTTCTTTTTTAATATTTTGAGGGTTTCTTTCGTAGTTTTTCTTCCTTCCCAGCTATTCATTCTACCCTATTTTCCCTACTACTACTAACTTAACCATAGAAAATCGTAGCTTCTATGCCAAATATTTAGAAATAATTTATTTCAATATTAGATTTAAGCATTTAAATTAATGGTTTTGTAGATGGTATTTTTCTTTCAATTAACCCTTAGATTAGAGATGAGGAGGGTGGTTCCTAACAGGAACCACACAAAATAAAATAGAGTTATAAAATAATACTGAAGATGATATTAGTTCAACATTAATGAAAATTTTGGTAACAAGAAGAAATCGGTAATGTTCCAATTGCTACAGAAACTTCTAGGACTTCTACGCGAAATCCGAGTCATCGTCGAACAGATGGAAAGTTCGTTGTAAAATTGCAATTCAAAAATGAATTTCTCAATACAATAAGTTTAGATTCCAGATCCGGATTCAAAGTAAAGAAGCAATATGTGCGGCATATGGAAGCAAAATTAGGAAAAAATAGAAATAGAGAAATTGAAAAGTCATATAATGATGTTTTGAATGAGTACTTGTCATTAACTTTGAAAAACTTTGCATGATTGTCAAGGAGGCGAACTTGCTGCCTCACATGTGTTCTTCGTCCTATGATCTACTAACCATATTGAAGCCAAAAAGGACAATTGCCATCGAATGTCATGTTTTGGTTGAATCAAATGTCCACCTCAAAGGGTGGTAGTAGTAATCAAGGACCCACTTTCATTGAAGCGAATACCGGTAATGCCATCATTAAGCGGCGGAAAAAATCCACCGCTACCCTTAATCCCAAGAAAAAGTTTGAGGAGGCTCAAATGGTACGAAGGGTTAGGGCATATTTGAATAATTTAAAAATCATTAATGATGAAGATATTTTACACAAATTATCGTTGCAATGTGAACCGGGTACATACATCGAGTGCCTCCACTTCATCACAACATGGTGTCACTTCTTCCCGGACCGGAGGAGATCAGCTGAGTATTTATAACTCATCATCGGCACCAAATTCTTCACTGACACTGAGCAAGAGACATCCATCATTTCCGACACTCTCGACCACCTTTTCGACTTCATCGTCGTAACATTGAGCACAGGGAAAAATAGTGTTCGTATTATTTACCACACTATGCTGTCTGTCTCGGCCCGAAAGTAGCAGCACAAAAATGACAGTGGTCTTTATTGGATCGAGTAAAACAAAAAGCTCCTCGTATTCCTTAAATAATGTATTACCTACAGGGCCTGTCAATATTGCAAAATGATCTCCAGTGGCTGTAATATTGAATATTATCTTTCTCGGCCCGAAGGCACCAGCACAAAAATGACAGTGGTCTTTTTTGGATCGAGTAAAATAAAAAGCTCCTCGTATTCCTTAAATAATGTATTACCTACAGGGCCGGTCAATATTGCAAAATGATCAGCAGTGGCTGTAATTTTGAATATTGGTATTGAGCATTTCGAAGGATACCAATTGGTGATATTTTGGCATATTTCTCGATGAGGGCGTTCAAGAGATCTTGTCAATCACTAAATAACCTTTAACTGAAGGCATATTCCCAAAATTGCCTGAGAAATTCGAAGTCAGCGCTCGACTTTTTGGTCGGTTCACATTCCAACGAGAGAGTATGTAAAATATCTTCACATTTACTTTTTAAATTATTCAAATAGGCCTTGACCCTTCGTACCATTTGAGCCTCTTCAAACATTTTCTTGAGATTTGGGGGGCAGAGGTAAATTTTTTCCTTCGCTTAATAGTGCCATCACCGGCAGCATTCACTGTAATGAGAGTGAGTCCTTGATTACTACCATCACCCTGTGAATTGGGTGATTGATTCAAGGAAAACATGGCATTCGATGGTGATTGTCCTTTTAGCCCCAATATGGCCAGCAGATCATAGGGTGAGGAACACATGTAAGACGGAAACCTCAACTCCTTGGCAATCATGCGTAAATATTCAAAATGAATTTTAAAATTATTCAAATAGATTTTGACCCTTCGTACCATTTGAGCCTCTTCAAACATTTTCTTGGGATTGGGGGCAGTGATGGATTTTTTCCACGGCTTAATAGTGGCATTACCGGTATTTGCTGCAATGAGAATGGGCCTTTGATTACTACCACACCCTGTGAGTTGGAGATTTGATTCAACGAAAACATGACATTCGAAGGTGATTGACCATTCAGCTCCAATATATCCTTTAGGCCAGTAGATAATAGGGCGGGGAACACAGGTGCGACAGTAACCTCACCTCCTTGGCAATCATGCGCAGTTTTTTTTCAAAATTAATTGGATCCTCAATTATGGTATCATTACCTAAATGGATGAAGATTAAATCTTTCCGAACGATGGAATAAAATGGAATGATGGGATGTATATTGAGCAGTTCGGAGGATACCACTTTGTGATATATTGGCATATTCCTCGATGAGGTGTCCATGAGATCTTTTGTAAATCACTGAATAGCCTTTGATATTTTGAGGGTAACTTCTCCCATGTTTGGCGGAGACGATAGACGGCGGCATGGCCCAGACCCGAGATAATGGCAAACATGGAATTAAAATTCCGACACTCCTTGCAATGGCGGGCTATTTTAATAAATTGTTTAACAATTTTCATCCTTCTCACAATATTATGTTCGCTGCAGATCTCTGTGACAACCCAAAACATTTCTCGATTAACCAATTCGGAAAATTTACTCAGCATTGTGACGCCATACTTTGTATTCAAATCGAAGAGGTCATCAATATATTCGGTGGATTCAATTTGTCGGAATGTTGAGAAATCCTGCAGGGTCAACTGTATGGCCAATTCATAGGCATTTAGCTGCAGGAAATGGACATTTGATTCTCGTACCAATTCCAGGGTCAATTCAATCGGGTACCAGGGTAGCTAAATTTTTTTTTTTTTTTTCAAATAGTAACGCGCTGCAAAGCCAATCCTTTCCGCCACATTCTGCAATTGATGGGGTAAACGTTTCACCATACCACCCTCATCCACTCTGATCTCATACAGCGAAAAGTGGGAACTAGGATCGTGTATGCCAAATTCCTGCAGGTCCAACATAACCACCTCATGGGCCGTCGTTGATGTATATTTATTTTAAAAAATATTTAGAAGCTCAATCGGCCTTGAATGCCTTGTGAGAAAATGTTCTGGATTTTCGGGTACCAAACTACCTGTTGTGGTGACCGCTGAGGGTCAGCGCACCGAAGCTGATAAATAACCACCCGCGTTTAATGTCGATGTTGCTGAATTATTTTCATATTGCAGGGATGTCAAATCGGGATTTGATTGGGATTGATGTAGCCTAGCAGCGCCATCATTACCATTGGGCCCCGATGAAGAGGAAGCACTGCTCAGGCTCCCTGATTTATGTTTTTCCGAACATGCCACATTGAGGAGAGCATCATTGCTGTCATTTAAATTTAAGGCCTGTAGCCCGGTGACATTTTTTTCCAATAAATTCATTTTAGCAAAGGGATTTTTGTAGTCTACGCTTGGTGGCCAAGAGGACTCCACACCATTCACATCGGCTTCAAAGCCATACATCAGTTTCTGGGTAACCTCTTGAGAAAACAGCGAAGCGCTGATTTTGTAAAGGCGTGGATTTTTTAAATAATTTTTTTCAGGGGTCTATATAAGGCGTGGATTTTTAAATAATTTTTTTAAGGTTCTATATAAGGCGTGGATTTTTAAATAATTTTTTCAAGGGTCTATATAAGGCGTGTATTTTTTATATAATTTTTTCAAGGGTCTATATAAGGCGTGGATTTTTTAAATAATTTTTTAAGGTTCTATATAAGGCGTGGATTTTTTAAATAATTTTTTAAGGGTCTATATAAGGCGTGGATTTTTTAAATAATTTTTTTAAGGGTCTATATAAGGCGTGGATTTTTTAAATAATTTTTTTAAGGGTCTATATAAGGCGTGGATTTTTTAAATAATTTTTTTAAGGGTCTATATAAGGCGTGGATTTTTTAAATAATTTTTTTAAGGGTCTATATAAGGCGTGGATTTTTTAAATAATTTTTTTAAGGGTCTATATAAGGCGTGGATTTTTTAAATAATTTTTTTAAGGGTCTATATAAGGCGTGGATTTTTTAAATAATTTTTTTAAGGGTCTATATAAGGCGTGGATTTTTTAAATAATTTTTTTAAGGGTCTATATAAGGCGTGGATTTTTTAAATAATTTTGTTAAGTGTCTATATAAGGCGTGGATTTGTTCAATAATTTTTTTAAGGGTCTATATAAGGCGTGGATTTTTTAAATAATTTTTTTAAGGGTCTATATAAGGCGTGGATTTTTTCAATAATTTTTTTAAGGGTCTATATAAGGCGTGGATTTTTTAAATAATTTTTTTAAGGGTCTATATAAGGCGTGGATTTTTTAAATAATTTTTTTAAGGGTCTATATAAGGCGTGGATTTTTTAAATAATTTTTTTAAGGGTCTATATAAGGCGTGGATTTTTTAAATAATTTTTTTAAGGGTCTATATAAGGCGTGGATTTCTTAAATAATTTTTTTAAGGGTCTATATAAGGCGTGGATTTCTTAAATAATTTTTTTAAGGGTCTATATAAGGCGTGGATTTCTTAAATAATTTTTTTAAGGGTCTATATAAGGCGTGGATTTCTTAAATAATTTTTTTAAGGGTCTATATAAGGCGTGGATTTTTTAAATAATTTTTTTAAGGGTCTATATAAGGCGTGGATTTCTTAAATAATTTTTTTAAGGGTCTATATAAGGCGTGGATTTCTTAAATAATTTTTTTAAGGGTCTATATAAGGCGTGGATTTCTTAAATAATTTTTTTAAGGGTCTATATAAGGCGTGGATTTCTTAAATAATT